GATGTAGGTAGATAGGTGGATGGGTAGATGGATGGATGATAGAGATATGGATGGACGGACAAATGGATAGATGGATAAGATGATAGATATAGACAGACAGATAGAAGATGGATGTAGGTAGGTTAGTAGGTGGGTGGGTAGATGGATGATAGATAGATAGATAGATAGATAGATAGATAGATAGATAGATAGATAGATGATAGATAGATAGATAGATATGGACGGATGGACAGAAGAGAGACAGACAGGCTGTCAAGGCACTATATAGCTTCACCCAGTGGCTTGCTGGCAGAATTGAAGCAGCCAGTTTTCATACAAGATTCCTTCAACATGTGAGGAGTGTAATGTGTAGTTCAACCTTTAGTGAGAGTAAAGAAGAATGTCAATTCGAGAAGAGAAGAATGATAAACCTTTTGCTCATCTCACTTATCGCACCGTTCATCATTCACACACACACACACCTCTTTGCCCTTGTGTTGTGAGCAGTGACATTGAAAGCGGTTAAAATCACCAAGCACAGATTTTGAGATTGGAAACAGCTTATCCTGGGACCTTGTCCTATCTGGGGTAACGACATTTTGCCTTTTGCTGTGATGCATTTCTGCATCAATATGGCTCCTGGTTAGTTCAGACATATTTAGCAATTACAGCTTCGTATTAAGCAATGCTGATTTATCCTTTCATTAGATGTTGTTTTCAGTAGCAGAGAGAAAATTGTCATTATTTAGCAGCTTCTCCCTTTACTCTGACAAACTTGTTTTTGGGTGTGTGTGTGTGTGTGTGTGTCCCCTTCTTTAAAGCTTTCAGAAAAACTGAATAAGAAGAGAAATGAAGAACAAGAATGAGCTTTACGGGTCTTGAAAAATGCACTTAAGAGTCGAACTCACTGGAATGTCTTCACATTGGAACAGTTGGCAACGTGGTTGGTGTGTGCGTTTGCTTTTTATTTCCAATTTTTAATAAGAGAGGGAAAGTGGTTTTCTTGGAAATGCTGTTAGGGTTTTGCTGTGACCTATAGCAAGCTAAAGATTTATCCAGGGACATAATTTAATTTAATGAATTCTGGCAAATCTTCCTTTGATAAATGATTAGTTACACATTTAATTTATAAAGAGTTGTTGTCCAAATATTCAACTCAAACCCTGAACCTTTAAAAAAAAGTGGGGGGGGGGAGAAGGATTGTAAATATTTTAATTTTGTTTTTAATCTTGCTTTTAGTGTCTTGAAAAGTTCATTGTATTCTATTGCATAAATATTTTATTCTATTATTTTATCTCTAGTTTAAAGGGTGCTTTGTCAGGCAGAAGGACTGAGAAAAAGGTTTTAATCTTTTTAACGTGTGCTTTGTTGATTTTGTAGTAAAAAGTTGTACGGTGAGGTCCAAGTTTGTTTTGTGTGATCTTTGCATGGCAGAAAAATCCAGCAACATAGGGAACATTTGAGATCAGCTCCTCATCTTTGTGGGAGATTGCTACATTTTCCCCTGCTTTGGTCCATAATTATTATAAATTAATTTGTTAGAATATATTCTTACCAACAGTTCTGTTTATTGTAACAGAACTGGTGCTGAGAAACTGATCTAAATGTCAGATGAAGTTAAAAATAAGACACCGTTAACATAAACCCACATTTTGGATTAGGTAGATATCTATGTATTAATCTGTAAACTTCCAATTGGTGTTGAAATATGGGCCCAGTTGATGGGGAAAATGAAGAAATTACAGTTCCGGAGTGCCATACTTTTAAGAAATCTTGCACCTCTAGCCAATGCACCATCTTCATTAATAACTGTGAGTTCAATAGTAGTAACTGTGAGAGGGATCTTGGAGTCCTACTAGACAATCATTTAAATATGAGCTAGCAGTGTGCTGCAGCTGCCAAAAAAGCCAACAGAGTTCTAGACTGCATAAATAGATGGATAGAATCCAGATCACGTGAAATTAATAACTTTATAATGCCTTGGTCAGGCCACACTTGGAATTCTGCATTCAGTTTTGGTCACCACGATGTAAAAAAAGATGTTGAGACTCTAGAAAGAGTGCAGAGAAGAGCAACAAAGAGGATTAGAGGACTGGAAGCTAAAACATAGGAAGAACAGTTGCAGGAACTAGGTATGTCTAGTCTAATGAAAAGAAGAGCTAAGGTTGACATGATAGCAATCTTCCAATATCTCAGGGCTTGCCAACAAAGAAGGAGATTCTCCAAAGCACCTGTAGGCAAGACAGAAAGCCACAGATGAAAACTAATCAAGGAGAGAAGCAACCTAAAACTAAGAAGAAATTTATTGACAGTGAGGATAATAAACTAGTGGGACAGCTTGCCACCAAAAGTCACGGGTGCTTCATCGCGGGAGGCTTTTAAGAAGAGACTGGACAGCCCCTTGACCGGAATGGTATAGGATCTCCTACTTGAGCAGGGGGTTGGACTAGAAGACCTCTAAGGCCCCTTCCAACTCTCTGATTCTATTCTGTTCTTTGTCTCTTTTCTTTATTTATCATGTATTTTTCTGTATCTAACAAAGTGACAGCTGTGCCTGCTGCACGAGACTTGCAGGATGAATAAGAAACGGCATACCGAAGAACAGAGGTGGAAGAGATCTTGGCTGTCCAATCTCTTCTTAAAACCCTTCATTGAAGGAGCATCCATAACATCTGAAGGCCAGCCATTCCGCTGGCGAATTGTTCTGTCAGGAAATATCTCCTTATTTCTAGGCTGGTCCTCTCTTTGATTGGTTTCCACCCATTGTTTCTCATGCTGCCTTCAGGTGCTTTGGAGAATAGCTTGACCCTCTCTTCTTTGGGGCGGCTCCTGAGATATTGGAAGACTCGCTCCCTGGTCCTTCTTTTCGTTCAACTAGATCTACCCAATTCCTGCAGCCGTTCTTCGTGTATTTTAACCTTCGGTCCCCCCTGATCGTCTTTGTTCTTAAAAATTCTGAAAAAAAAGCACAAGGAAGCCACCCAGAATTTGTTGGTATCCTTTATCCGTGCTAAATGTGGCTTTGTGTTGCCATCTCATGTCTGTTGCCGGCCTAGCATGAGTTACATTGAATAACAATGTTCTCCGTCAGATGATGAATCTCTCTGGGATTGTAGCCAAGACAAGCTACCGAGAAACGAGAAGAAAATAAACATGCCTGGAGAAGACAGCAAACTGGTTTAATCGAGATGCAAGAACAGGGGCTCCTGAATCTAACAAAGATCAGAAGTGGCTCGTATAATCCTGAATTAACAGTCAGGTGCAAGAAGTCAGGAACCAGGGCAGAGTTCAAAACTACTACAAGTTTGAGGGATCCTTGATGGTCTCTTGAGTTTAGTTGTTGTTGTTGTTTGCAAATGATTCATTACCCAGCTAGCTAACATTATCATGAGCACCAGTGATATTACCTAGTTTGGGTAATGAAACATCTGCCCAAAAAGTCAACCAAGTTCAGAGCACACTGAGGACCCCTCATTTCAACCCTGAGCTCCAAATATTCTCCTGTATGGTACCACATATGGATGTCACTCTTCAGAAAGCACAGAAGTGGCAAAAATTTGCATGTAGGCAAAGCTAGTTAGCTAGTTGGGTCATGAAACGTCTGCAGGAAAATAACCAAACTCAGAGAGCACCAAGGACCCCTCATTTCAACTCTATGCTACAAATATTATCCATTATCGGTACTAAAAGTTTACTCCATGCTAACTATACACAAGAATCTGAACTACTAACGGGCAAGGCGAATTGGCGCCAGATAAGAGTCAATGCATTTCAAAGGGAGCTGGACTTAAGTTTCTTAGAGGAGCGTAGGGATTCCAAACAGATGATGCATTTGATCCGACCCTCCAGCTCAGCCTGGTCATCTCCTACATCAACTGAGCTAGCCCATGTGAGCACAAAACCAGGACTCCAAACTAACCACCAAGACGGTCCACACTATTAAAAAAATAATAATCAAGATTAACACTAACCAAGCCTAGTGTGGTCCCCAGATCTTTACTGCCTTCATTTACCAGTCACCAGGTCTTTAGATGACTTGAGGTGGTTGGGAGAACGAGCCTTCAATGAGAACCAGAAGGTTGTTGTAACGGAAGAGAGAAAGGCACATCGCAAAGAAGAGCCCACTAACTGGTACACATCCTCAGCTGAAACCCTTAGATTGGGAGGCGAAGACCTTGCCACAGCTTGTAGCTATCACGCTTTGGTGTATGTCAGGGGTGTCCAACCTTGGTAATGTTAAGCCTGGAGGACTTCAACTCCCAGAATTCAGCCTGGGAGTTGAAGTCCTCCAGGCTTAACGTTACCAAGGTTGGACACCCCTGGTGTATGTTATGACCACGTGGCTCACATTCTAACAAATCACATTTAAAAATAAAATAAAAACAAGGTTTCCTGACATGGAAAGATTAACCAACTCGTTAACCAAAAAGTAAACAGGAGGATGCAGAAGAAATTGGTTTTTTTTTTATTATTATTTTTATTGTGGCCTGTAGGGAGACACAAATCAGAACACGAACCTGTTCAGGTGACCCAAAGACCAGGCCCATCCCAAGACCAACCAGCAGTTTATCTTGATGTCTCCCAAGGAAGCAAGAAGAGTTGGACATTTAAGTGTTCCTCAGAACTGATCTTCCAGCCGTTCCAGATAGGACTCAAAGGAGGAATCAGCCTAGACTCTCTACGTAAACACAAGAGGGCTAGATCTGACCCCACCCCTGAATTCCTTAAAGTCTTGTCCGGTCTTTCTGTCTTCAGAGATTCCTGTACTATAGGCAGAGAACAATAAAGTCACTAGTTTCACCTCTACACCTAATGGGTCTCTGTTAGCGCCTGACACTGCCCCGCTGATGAAGGGGACCAAGACCTTGCCTTCTTCAATGCATCAAAAATCATGCGCTTCAATGCATCAGAAATCTTCCCTCCACCCCCTACACGTACAGTCACCGTCGAGATGAATGAATTTACTTATTGAATTTATACACCGCCCATCTTGCCTGAGTGACTCTGGGGAGCTTAGAAACACTGCAATGAAATCCCAATAAACCCAAATCAACCACGCAGGTTAAAAAACAAAGAGCTAAGAACAACTTAAAACTTCCAGCTGCAAAAAATAAAATAAAAATCAGTGTTAAAATGCAGAAGATTTAAAAGGTTAGCAAGCCACCCCAGGGCTGCGTCACACAGAAACACCCCCTCCCACCATTCATAGGGGCAAAGCCAGGTCTTCACACTGGAAGCTGGGGTGGTGGTGGTGTGTGCTCACCTCTTGTGGGGGGGGGGTGTAAAATATTCTTGCCTTAAGCCAAAAGATGAAACGAAGCAGGCTTCAGGCCAGGCCAGGCCCACCTTCCTGGACGAAGCCGTCATTGGCTTGAGAAGGCACCATACCGTCTACCTGAATCCATCCATCACCTGTTCCTGGATCTTTGAGGGGGGCTAAGATGCCGCGTTGGGTCGCATCTTCTTCAGGCCGCCCCACCACCACCCCCGGGCGGGTCCTGAGCTCTCACGGCGCCTTGCATTTTTTCCGCGATGGAGGAAGGGAAATATGGTCCTCCGGTCCAGATGTGCTTTTAATCCGGCGTCACATCTGCAGCGCGAAGAGGCTTGCTTGTGCCATTAGCAACCGGGAGCCATCAGCTGGGATGGAGGAGAAGGACCAGGAGGGGGAGGAGGAGGAAGAGGAGGCGGCACTGGGAGGGGTGGGGTGGGGAGAAAAGCGACCCGCTTGGCTCCAAAACAAGGCGTCTCTCCGTGTCCCCCACCCACGCGTGTTCCCTGCGCGTCAGCGGGGAGGGGCTCAGCCGGCACTCGGTGCCCGCCTCCCTCCTCCTCCTCCTCCTCCTCTTCTCTTCCTCCCTCCCCGCCCAGTGCCGGAGAGCCGGGATGGCAACGGAGTCGGCGGCCGCAGGGACAACCGTCGGAGGAGCCGCGGCGGAGAAGCCCGGAGCGCGGCGGGGCTGAGCAAGGTAAAAAAAAACAACCAGCCCAGCATCAACCGGCGGAGGCGCCTCGGCTCCTGCCTCGGATTTGGCTGCCTGGCTTTGTCCAGCCTCCCTTCCCTCTCTCTTTTCCCACCGTCCCCTCCCCACCAACCCCAGGGTGTGCATTTTGTGCTCCGTCTGCGGAGTGTGCAAAAAGCACCCCCCCCTCACACACTTTGCAAAGACCGCCCCCCCTTCCTTGCCCCTCAAAGACCCCGGGGGTCTCTACCCCCTCCCCAGTTGCTCCTTCCCCTTTCTTCCTCCTTCCCCTGGCCTCTGCCTAATTTCCATGCCGTCCCCCCACCCCGTCTGACTAGCCTGCCCTGCCCTTCCCCTTTTCCTCCTTCTCCCGACCCTCCCTGGTTGCAGGGCTCCCCTTCCCCACCTCTGGCTGGCTGGAGCCCTAATGTTATGTACAGGGGGATGAATCACACACACCCTGCTGAATGACATCACTCTCTCCTTCCTCCCTAGAGAGAAAGCTTTGCTTCTCCCCCCCCTCCCCAACCAGCCTGCCGGGCATCTTTGGGGTGGGGGGTGGGGTTAGGGGCTGCGTCTGGTTCCTTGGCCTGTCTGGAGAGCAAGACTGGGGGGGGGGGTGAAGGGGGGCTGTCTGGGTTTCATAACACAAAGGCAGCAGCCCCATGGCCAGCCTAAAGAGCTCCATCTGCAGGTAAGCCAGTTCCGGTCCCTCAGGGCTGATAGTTTTATTTATTTATTTTGTCGAGAGCATGTATTAAGCTCACAGATACAGGACTAAACAGGACGATTAATAAATGAAACGGGGATAAATAAAGGGAACATGAGGACGGGGACGGTATGCGCTTTTGCTAAGGCACTTACGATGCACATCTCTGCTCTATGCTAGCCGGGAAGTTGGCAAGGCCGATGATCTTAGAGACACGTAGCCCCCTTCAGTGTTGTGTCTTTGATTTGGGGTGGGTTATGGGATGTCTCGTCCTTAAAGGGGTGGCCGTCGGCCTGCAAACTCCTGGGCCGGAGGAGTTTTGTGCGGGAGCCTTGATCTTAAGGCTCTTCTCGAAGAGCAGCGGCATTGCTTTGGAAGGGGCAGAGGAGCTGGCTTGGCACATTGCAGCGAGAGGCCGTGCCGAAAGGCGCCATCCATCATGCTTTCTCTGCGGGTTGTTGTTGTTTTTTGAAATGTCACCACTAGACAACGCACAAGGCAAAACCGAATCTTTCCACACCTCATGCTGGGTCAAGCGGGCTAGGTGGCACCCCGTGCAATGTGGCTTTGCGAAAGATGGGTCCTCGGTTTGGCAATTGTGCAAACGGTCCATCGTTTCCACGCAGGAACATTGCTACGGTGAACGGCTTCTGCACTGCAACGTGGGGAGCCAGCTGGCGTTGACCTGCTTAGAAAACAGCTTTCTCTGTTGCTAAGAGTTTGAGCCAGCTCTCTCCTGGGCTTAGGGATGGAGGAGGCACTGGAATTAAGGTCAAATGAGGGCAGCTGCCAAGAAGGGGGGGGGAACTGTTGGTGGAATGGCAGGAACTCAGCTGGCTTCCCACAGGTGCCACTGAACAGGAATTGGCTAGTGTGTGTTGGATGGATTGTGTGAACCAAATCCGCTGGGTTAAGAAGCTCTCATATAGTTTTTTTTTTTAAAGAATGACTTACGGTTGGACCAACACCCTCCGTCTTTGCTTCACACTTTATTATTTGGGAGAGGTTGTTTTGTTATGAATCCAACTACATGTCGTTTACATGGACATGGTGGCTCAGTGGCTAAGACGCTGAGCTTGTTGATCCGGAAGGTCGGCAGTTCGGCGGTTCAAATCCCTAGCACCGCATCACGGAGTGAGCTTCCTTCCTTGTCCCAGCTTCTTCGAACCTAAAAGCACATAAAAAAATGCAAGTAAAAAAATAGGGACCCCTTTGCTGGGAAGAGAACAGCGTTCCTCCATGCGCCTTCTGCATTTAGTCATGCCGGCCACATGGCCACGGAGACGTCTTCGCACAGCGCTGGCTCTTCTTCGGCTTTGTAACGGAGAGGAGCACTGCCCCCTAGAGCCGGAAACGACTAGCACGGATGTGAGAAGGGAACCTTCACCTTTACCTTACATGTAGTCCTCGGTGTACGATCACAGTTGATCCCAACATTCCTGTGGCTAAGCGCGACATTTGCTAGCTGGGTTTTGCTCCACGTTACGACCTTTCTTGCCACCATTGTTAAGCAAACCCCCTGCAGTTGTGAAGTGAGTAATACAGTCCTTAAGCGGATCTGGCTTCCCACATGGACTCTGCTCGTCAGAAGGTTGCAACGGGGGATCACGTGACTCCCGGGACGTTGCAACCATCCTAAATAGGAGTCAGTTGGTAAGCATCCAAATTTTGTTCACGTGGCCATGGGGAGGCTGCAACAGCCGTGAGTGTGGGAAACGGTCGTAAGTCGCTTTTTTCAGGGGCGTTGTAACTTTGAACGATCACTAAATGAATGGTCGTTAAGTCAAGGACTGCCTGTCATTGTGTCCTATTCCATAGTCAACCTACAAATGCTTTCTTAGCGTCACATGAGTCTCCAAAAATAAAATATAGAATAGGGATAGGATAGGATAGGATAGGATAGGATAGGATAGGATAGGATAGAATAGAATAGAATAGGACAGGACAGGACAGGACGGAACGGAACGGAACGGAACGGAATGGAATGGAATGGAGTAGGATAGCATAGGATAGGATAGGAAAGAATAGAAATAGAAATAGAAATGGCATAGCATGGAATGGAATGGAATAGAATAGAATAGAATAGAATAGAATAGAATATTAGAATGAGGAATGGAATGGAATGGAATAGAATAGGAAAAATTGAATAGAATAGGAATAGAATAGAATAGAAATAGAATGGAGTGGAGTAGAGAGTAGAGTAGAGTAGAGTAGAGTAGAGTAGAAATAGAATAGAATAGAATAGAATAGAATAGAATAGAATAGAATAGAATAGAATGAGCTGGAAGGGACCTTGGAGGTCTTCTAGTCCAGCCCCCTGCTCAAGCAGGAGAACCTATACCATTTCATGAATGAATGAATGTTTTCTTCTGATCAGTCTTAACTCACTTCTATACATGAGCCCTATTGGGTGGGAGTAGCTGGGGGGGGGGGCGGAATGTCCATTAGGAAGTCCAAGGGGAATCTGGTGGTCTTTGTATGCCTTTCATTGAACTGACACCTATCCATTGACTTGAGTTGGTTGCCTAGCAGAACTTCCACTGCTATTGACACCCGTTTCAGTGGCAAAGAGAAGGGCGAATGTTTTCGATGCTGAAATCTTGAACTGTAAAGGTACAGCCCATTTTTCCCATAATCGCACCTTGAACTATCTACTAGACTTTCCTCCCCTTCTCCCTCCAGAAGTAGATCTGCCATCATCCCTCATTCTTTCGAGATTATATTTATTCCTTTGCGAATTACTCACATCCCGCCTCTATTATTTTTTACACACACACCCCCCAAAAAAATCTCAAGGCAGCAAGTATATCCAACAAAACTTCCTTCTTTTTATTTTCCCTACAACAACAACCCTGTGAGGTAGGTTGGGCTGAGAGAGAGAGGGACTGGCCCAGAGCCATACAGCTAGCTTGGATGGCTAAATCAGGACTTGAACTCATGGTCTCTCTGCTTTCTGTCTATCTCAGTGCCTTAACCACACTACTAGATCAAACTGGCCGGGGAAGGAACATACTGTAAACAAATCTTTCAGATAACAGTTAGAAGGAACTTTGGAGGTCATCTAGTCCTCCACCACCCCCGCCTTAGCAGACCCTACACCATTTCTGACAAATGGCAGTGCAATCTCTTGATTGAACTTGATTGATCTATCTGCAGTATGTAAAGTGGAAAAGATCAGGCCCACAGATGAAGGTCCAATTAAATTGATTTATTGCTACTTATGCCTATGTACAGGAATGTACTCAACTAACAGGTAATGCCTGCTTGGAGTTAGATAAGGGTCAACAGAATTCAAGGGAGTTTGGACGTATTGAGTTTGTGGCCATGGAGAGATTCTAGACTGATTCCTCTTTTAACTCCACCTGCAGGTCCTGCTATTCCTTCTCTCCCTCCTCTATCATCCATCCATCCACCCACCCATCCATCCATCTATCTATCTATTTCCATGATCTATCTGGTCTCCTGTCCTTCCTGCAACAAACCTGGTAAGTTCTTGGATAGGAGACCATCGGGAGACCCAAGGTCTATAGAGCTGCTCTGCAGTGAGATGGGTGGCACATACATTTAATAAATGAATTAAAAAGGATTGATTGAGTAGTTGAAAAAAATAATCCCTTAAAAAGTGATGGTTAATTCCTTCCACCCTGGGTGCAAGAATTAGGCTGATTACAGTCCCCATCATCAGTGGACCATGCAGGCTGGCATGATGGGATTTGTAATCCAACACTCCTGAAGGACATTGGGTTGGAGAAAAATAAATTAGAGAGACGGTAAGAGTTCCTTCAATGAGTTTAATGGTTTCATGGTAAAAACATGAAATGTTTTTAATGTCTTAATTGTAATATATTTTTAGAGATGGATGGATGGATGGATGGGGATGGATGATGCAGACCGAGGGATTTAAACTCCTTAACACTAGTTCCAAAATGTTTTTGTTCTATGTTGAATGTCATTCTGATATCTTTTTTATGAGGTTAGAATTCAGAATTCCTCAGATTTACCATTATACATGTCTGTTACAAAAGCAGAAAAGCTAACTGGTATTTAGAAGCTCACCAAACATTCAAACCGGTTTTCTGACTTCTTCTGGAACAGCAAGTTGCCATAAAAAAAAAAGAATATAACTGTGTTTTGCATTTCTGGGCATGTGAAGTGTGTAGATCATTTGTTCAAAAGCCTCTCTTTGGATTACACATTCACCTTATGTTTTCTTTAAAGGTGCTTCCATAAAAAAAAATTGGCAAAAATTACTATTCTTTAAAAAAAACAACCTGATATTATGCAGTCTTGATAGAG